TCACTTTGCCATGAATTTCTCCAGCCTTATGGACTCCTTCAGCTTTACCCAGCATGTTTCTGGCCCCACACACACCAGGGGACACACTCTAGATCTTGTTTTTACCCTGGGTCTAAGTGCTGACAGTGTTTGTCCTGAGGACGTTTATATTTCAGATCACCATTGCATTTTCTTTAACTTGTCAGCTTCTGCGTCCCCACCTCCTGCTCGCCGTATGGTTAGTTCTTGTTTTCTTAATGAGAGCACAGCTAGCAATTTCTCTGCTGATTTTGATCCACCCTGTTCTTCTGAGAACGACCCAGATTCCTTAACTTCTCAGTTCAATGAGCACTGCCTCTCCATTTTGGACAACATCTGTCCTGTCAGAACCAGATCAGTTCCTGCAGTGAACCCTACTCCCTGGTTTAACGACAGCATTCGCAGCCTGAAGCGCCAATGCAGAAAAATTGAGCGCTTGTGGAAGAAAACCCATCTCCACGTCCATCTGCTTTACCTAAAGTGTTAAGTAAATATTGATATTATAGCTTAATTTCTTGACTGTTAAAACAGCTGGTGCTCTGTAAAAATAATTAAACGCAGGGTTCATCCTGTAACCTTGTCATCCTTTAGCCTCTTCCATCCTGTAGCCTTCACGGGGAGGAAGTGACCTTCGAGCTGTTTCTGGCAGACCAAGCGAGTCGGTTTTATGTCAGACTCAAAGACTGGGTTCGGGAGTAAGAGCTTTTATTACAGACTGCTGACTGAAAGCGGTGCTGGAAAGGCTGAAGGTTGGATGAGGTCTGAGTAGGAAAGGTGGAGATTAAGCTGTATTAGCTTCCGAATACTCTGATCATGGATCACGGTGGAACGATGCCTGAGTGAAGAGCCGGTGTGGCGTCTTCCATATATAGACATGGATTGACGCAGGTGCAACGTGGAGGGAATCCCCGCGAGGGGCATGCTGGGTAATGTGGTCCAAGACGGAAGCCGGTCAGCTGGGAGAGCCCGGCCTGGGGGCTTGGACTCTGACATTTTATCAGTAACACTCCCATGAGAAAGTCTAGAAGATGCCTTGTTGATTCAGTGTGCACCTGGGCTGAGACTCTCTTCACTAGCAGCTTCCCGCCTGAAAGTCTACGTAATAGCTCAAGGAATGTGAATTGTGTTTATGTGTGCTTGTGTTTTCAATAAATGCTTTCGGAGGACATCAGTCTGATGAGAGTGAACTGAGATCCTTGCTTGGTGTGTATTCATTCCTCTCCAATTTGCAAAGTCTATATTGATTGTTTACGATTGGTATTGGTGTTGGTTGATTGATTACTATAACCCCCTGTGCATTAAACTTTCTCTAAGGTAATCCTGGATTGATAAAATTACCCAACATAAAGAATCTTCTGACATCCTTTAACTCTGCAGTCAGTGGCGTGAGGGTTCCCTATTTTTCCAACCTGGTTTCCCAGAGCAAAGGGAACCCCAAGGTGCTGTTTAACACCATCAGCAGCATTGTTTCTCCTGCCTCTCCTACAGCCTCCATCCACTCTGTTGCAGACTGTGAGAACTTTCTGTCTTTCTTTGTGGACAAAGTCAATAAGGTTAGATCTAGCATCTCTCCTTCAGCCTTATCGCTGCCTCACCCGACTCCACCCAGGCCCGTCATCCTAGACAGCTTTGCTCCTGTTTCTTTGCCTGAGTTAACCAAACTAGTTAACTCTATGAAGACCTCTGCATGTACCCTCCACATCTTACCCTCATCTTTGTTTAAAAGTGCTTTTCAGTCCATCAGTCCCAGTGTGCTCTCTTTAATTGATGCTTCTCTGGTTTCTGGTCAGGTCCCTGCTTACTTTAAGAATGCTGTAATCCACCCGCTTCTTAAAAAACCGAGTCTCGACCCCTCTCTCCATAGTAGCTTCAGACCCATCTCTAAACTTCCGTTCATCTCCAAGATCTTGGAAAAGGTTGTGGCTTAACAACTCACAGCTGCTCTTGATGAACATAACATCTATGATAGCTTCCAGTCAGGTTTTCGTAGAGCTCATTCTACTGAAACAGCTCTTCTTAGGGTCTCTAATGACCTTCTGACTCACAGTGATGCAGGGGACTGTTCTGTTCTGGTCCTGTTGGACCTGACTGCAGCCTTTGACACAATTGACCATCACCTGCTACTGGAGAGGCTGAGAGACTGGACAGGCCTATCAGGATCTGCTCTGGAGTGGTTCTCCTCTTATCTTTCTGAGCGCTTCTTTTCTGTGGCAGTCTCCAAGTTTAGGTCATCCACCACCTCTCTTACCCATGGTGTCCCACAAGGTTCTGTTTTGGGGCCTCTGATCTTCCTCCTCTATCTGCTTCCTCTTCAGCACATCCTGAGCTCCTTCAAAGGAATCTCCTACCATCTTTATGCAGATGACATCCAACTGTCCATGTAAGGCCCTAGACCAGAACCCTGGTCTATAGGGCTTCAATCAATCAATCCTGTTCCAGTTCCTCCATCACCACCCACCCTGAGCTCCCTCAATACTGTTTCATACTCTGAGCTGAATAAGCTTGTTGCGAGGCAGAAGCCATCTGGCTCTCCACTTGACGTTCTGCCGCCTCGTCTCTGGAAGGCTGCCTTTCCGTGCCTTGGCCCTTCACTTGGTCAGATTATCAATGGGAGCCTCAGCACAGGTGTGGTCCCGGCAGCTTTGAAAGCAGCAGTTATCTGGCCGACCCTGAGGAAACCTGGTGCTGATGTCTCTGTGATCGAAAACTGCAGGCCTATCTCTACCCTGCCTTTACATCAAAACTGCATGAGAAAGTCGTTTATCAGCAGCTGGTCTCACATTTAGCTGACTCTGATCTGTTTGAGATTTTCCAATCAGGGTTCAGGTCTGGCCATAGCACGGAGTCGGCTCTACTGAGGGTCCTAAATGACATCTATCTATCACTAGATCAGGGTACATCTGTGGTGCTTCTGTTGTTAGACCTGACAGCAGCCTTCGACACAGTTGACCACGCGATTCTACTGGATCGCTTGGAACGATGGGTTGGGATCAAAGGGTCAGCTCTGGATTGGTTTAGATCGTATCTCCACAACAGGACATTCTGTGTTAAACTGGGTGATGTTTTTTCTTCTTGGGATGGGCTCCGCTGAGGGGTCCCGCAGGGATCGATCCTTGGTCCTCTTGATGGCCTATCGTTCCATCTGTATGCTGACGATTGCCAGATTTACTCTCCATTATGTCAGGAGAAAGGTCACTCTATCCAGTCCTTTGTGTCCTGTGTTAACGGGGTGAAGTCTTGGCTAATGGCCAACATTCTGCATCTGAATGAGGGAAAGACAGAGCTCATTGTTTTTCACCCCAACAGCAGGAATGTGGGTCGTTATGTTGATCTTGGCCCTCTTTCTCCGTACTCAAAACCAGTTGTTACCAGTTTGGGGGTGAAACTTGATGCTGGACTTAAAGTTGATGCTCACATCAACTCTGTGATCCGGTCCAGTTTCTTTCACCTGAGACGCCTTGCAATAATCAAGCCCATGCTGTCAAGAACCCACCTGAAGCGGGTACTCCATGCTTTTGTAATTTCTAGGCTTGATTACTGCAGCTCTCTATATGCAGGGTTGTGTCAGTCATCACTGCGTCGCCTACAGGTTGTGCAGAACAGCGCAGCCAGGTTGCTGACTGGGACCAGGAAACTGGACCACATCAGTCCGGTTCTGACCTCCCTGCACTGGCTTCCGGTTTGCTATCGTTCACACTTCAGACTCCTCATCTTTGTTTTTAATTTCTTCCAGGGTGGTGCTCCCCCCTATCTGGCCTCGCTCCTGAACAGACATTCCCCATCACGCGCTCTGCGCTCCTCTGACCAAGGCCTGCTCGTTGTCCCTCATTCTAGGTGTCGTACTCGCGGGGACCGGGCTTTCTCAGTCCTAGTACCGTCACTATGCAACCAGTTGCCACCCTCAGTTAGGCTGTCCCCATCTCTGCCAGTCTTCAAGAGTCGCCTAAAAACCCACCTCCTCCGCTTGGCGTTTCCAGAAAATGTTTGAATTTGGCCCTTTTTTATGTTGACTTTATCTCACAGTTTTCATTGGTTCACTTTTTCCCTTGTTTTACACATTTGTCTTCTACTAGAGTGTTTCACTTTTTTTGTAATTTGTAATCTGTAATTTGAATTGCTTTTATTTTCTGATTTATTCACTTTCATTAACTTTGTACTGTACCATGTTCAGCGCCTTGGGCTTCCTGACAGGGTTGCGGAAGGCGCTTTACAAATAAAGCTTTGATTGATTGATTGAACTGTACATCTCCTTTAAGCCCCATGAGACGTCTAAGCTGCAGCTGTTACACACCTGCTTAGACTCTATCAAAACCTGTATGGCTGGGAGCTTTCTACAGCTGAATGAAGATAAGACTGAGATCCTCATCTGTGCCCCAGACAAGCTGGTTCCCAAAGTCAGAGACTCTCTTGGTCAGCTTGCTTCCCACACCAAACCTTCTGTCAGGAATCTTGGCGTGACCTTTGACCCAGCTCTCACCCTGGATTCTTACGTCAGTTCTCTTGTTGGCTCTTCCTTCTTCCATCTCAGGAAAATTGCAAAGCTGAGTCCCATTCTGTCCCGCTCTGAACTTGAGACAGTTCTCCACACCTTCATCTCCTCACGCTTAGACTACTGTAACTCTCTTTTCACGTGTCTGAGCAGAACCTCCCTGAACCGTCTACAGGTGGTTCAGAACGCCTGTGCTCGGCTTCTGACCAAGTCCTCCAAACACACCCACATCACCCCGCTTCTCCTCCAGCTTCACTGGCTGCCAGTCAACTTCAGGTTTCATTTCAAGATCCTGGTTCTGGTCTATAGGGCCTTACATGGACAAGCACCATCTTACATGTGTGATCTTCTTAGTCCCTACACCCCCAGCAGGTCCCTGAGGTCCAGTGATCAAAGCCTACTGGTTGTGCAGCACACTAGGCTAAAGACCAAAGGTGACAGATCATCTGCTGCTGTGGCCCCAGACTCTGGGACTCCCCCTCCCCCCCTCCCCGAGTCTGAGATCAGTGGACTCAGCGGACGCCTTTAAAAAGCAGCTGAACATTCACTTGTTCAAGCTGGCTTTTGTATGACCTTCTTCACCACTCTCTCTTAATTCTGCTCTCCCCACCTATTCCACCTTCCTCAGGATCTACTGATTTCCCTCTTTCCTATTCACTCTCTCTCTTTCTGTTAGGTATTTTTATTTATTCAATCCAGGCGTACCTCAAAGAAAGTCCAAAACACACAAGGGGGTTAGAGATATTATTGATATTAATAAAATTTACCAATAAACACAAATAATCAATAATCAGATTTTGCAAAACCAGAGAGAAAAAAGAAACACACCAGTTGTGGGAGGTCTGTTTAGTCTCTCAACGAGCAGGAGCTCATCAAAAGGTGAACATGAACATTTAATAAAAATACCTAACAAATCCCTCCTGATGTTCATTTTGGTTGTCATAACAAAACCAAAGTAAGATGTCATTAACCTAATAATCAATTAGTAAGCAAGAATTATGATTGACGCACCCTATCAATGCGAGGACTTTAGCTTAACACTAGACAGACACCGTTTTATCCTGCATTCCTAGCTTTATTAATTTATCCCCCCTGAATGTTACTTTTGAGCAATAACAATAAAAATAAAATACATTGTCATGTCAACAAAAACCAGAGTAAGAATTATGACACACCCACCAACCTGGAATTTGGAATGACCAATCAATCGGATCTTAGCTCAACATTAAACCAGACATCAAAACCTATATAATACTCTGAGCTTTATTAAATCAATTCACACCAATAGACATCAAAAACCAGATAAAATTGATGACCATTACCCAATGCATGCATAAATGCAGAAGATGATTTACGGATCTCTGAACCTTCTCCACATCTGTCGTTTCCTCCTGTGCTGCAACCCATGGCTTGTAGGACTGAACAGGTTTCAAATGTTCTGTATTTTCAGTGGCTGGCTGACCCATGGTTCTGGTTTCCTCCGAACTTTGTGTTTGACCCCTGCACCTCATCTCCAGTTCAGGCGTGATATACTGCAATGAGTCTTGGTCACAGACTGTGCTCTCAGCCCTGCGTCGTCCTGCTGACGTGTCGACGCAGGATGGAGGTTGGTACCGTTTTGTGTCACCTCCTGAGCGAGCTGACTGATCCACAGCAGGTTTGTGGTGTTACATCAGCTCATGTCTTTCTGGCCTCCTCCGTCTTGGACTGCAAGTCAGCAGTTCAGCCTTGTCTTTCTGGCCCATCTTGGGCTGTAATAGGCCTTTTCCACCGACCAAACTGGCATGGAATGGGAAGGATCGGGTCGCTAAATATTTTGTTTCGATTGTTTAAACCAGTCCAGGAAACTTACCCGAACCGGTCCAGTAGCGGGCCAGAGCGGGACCCCTTCTGTTGTGGGTCCAGAGATTTTTGGTCTGGGCGGAGCCACAGCGTAAAAGGTCCAGAGTCCTCTGATTGGGGGAGAAATTACGTAACTACCCGCGACAATCCCAGGGGATGGAAAAAGAAGTGAGTCGAGTTCCAGTGTTTGTTTGGCTGTACTTCTTGTGTGTGAAAATACCTGCAAGTAATAGCTTTTGGTCCAATGCGGAGCTTCAAACGTTCCTCACCATCATCGGAGATAGCAACATTCAGGCCGAGCTGGATGGGATGATAAGAAATGAGAAAGTCTTCAAAGAAGTTTCTCAAAGCATGGCAGCTGAAGGATTCCAGCGCACCTCCAAGCAGTGTCGTGCTAAGCTGAAAAAAATAAAAGCCCACTACAGAAAAGTTAAGGACAGCAACGGCCGTAGTGGGAATGGGCGAAGTACATGGAAGTGGTACGATGTGGTGGACGCTATTTATGGACACAGACCGTCAAACCGAGGCAGCGAAGGAGGCCGGGACTCGGCGACCAGTATCCTGGAGTCACTCATAAACCCTGTTGGTAAGCATTTCTTTTGTTGTCTTTTTAGCTCTGCTGGCCATTAAAACACTGAATAATAGCTGCAGCTATTTAAGAAATGCTCAGCAAGTAAAGGATTTAGCCCCTCGTGTTTATGTTAACCTTCATTTAGCATTACCCCGTGTTTCTTAACACGCTGTTCGCGATATAAGCCTTTCATGTTTAGCATGTCCTTGTTGAGTACATGAGGCTGGAGCGGAGTTTGCCTTTCTTGTTAGCGTCTCATTGTTTAAAACATGGGAAATTCGGTTAGCCTTTCACGTTAGCATCTCAGTGTTTTTAGCATCTCATTGTTTTATACAGCTGAGCACCCACAGTGAGGAGAAGCGAGCTGATCTAATATTATAAAGATCCCAAAAGTCGTGCCAGCAGTGTTTTTAGCCTAGAGTGGACTTTTAACAAGTACATATTTTTCGGGTGAATAAGAATATAACATTAAATTGCAATTAATCTGTACATCACTGGCGAATTACTGCCATCTAGTGGACACGTTCCAAATGACAAAATGGCCTTAACTCATAGCAGTTTTATTAATTTTACTATATGCCTACGTGCTCTTTTGCTGTAAAAACTATTGTACTTTTCTTACTGATTTATTTCGTGATCTTTTCTTACTGACAAATTTTTTGATCTGTGTTTTTCAGACACATCTGAAGTGGAAAACACTCCCTCTTCAGAGGAACCATCCACTTCCTCAAGTAGCACTCCAGGACCTTCTGTGCCACCATCACCTCTGTCCGTACCTTCTGTGCCACCATCGCCTCGGCCAGTTCCATCGCCACCACCATCACCTCTGTCCACTGCCACTCGAGAGGAACATCTACCATGTCGTCGACGCACAGGTAGTGTCTGACCATTCTAAAAATTGCTTTGTGCATAAACAAAACTGACAAGTTCACAGGACAACTGACATTTTCTTATCCATATAAACACAAATGTAATTGTCAATGTTGTTGTTTCCAGGTGACCGAAGACGGCGATTGGAAGCACGGACACAGGTGATATTTGATGAGTTGCAGATCGCAGATGGCAGGCAGATGGACAGAATGGAAGGCATAAGCCGGGAGCAGGTTAACTGGATGCAACAAGACGCAGCAGCAGCAAGGCAACATGAATTACAGATCGCAGAGCGATATTTTGAACATTTGGGTGCCCTAAATGCTGTTCTTGGACTGGTCGCACAAAGAATGGGCAGCTCCTCTGACTTCCTGCCACCACCCAGGCAGTAAGGAGCTATGTATTTGTCCTGCAGTTTTTTTTATCCGTCTGTCCTTTTTATCAATAAATTTTCAAAGAAAAACAAGGTGTGCATGAATTGTCTTAAACAATTTTGCTAGCAAATTTAAATTTACATAATAAATGCAGATTACATTACAGCCCACCTTAAATATATGTTAAAATGGAAAGGTGCAACAGTTTGTTAACAGTAAAATAGTGTACTTTATTAAGTTCTGAAAATAAAACAAACATTTCAGTTAAAAATACAGGCTTCCAACAGGTAAAAGTGTCAAAACAATAAAGTAAATGGAAAGAAAAAACACAAATTGAGGTCAGCGGGTGAAGTGTCGCATCAGAGCTTCACGCACATCACTGCCCTCCTCTGCAACTTCCTGCATATTTGCAACCACTGGTTCATCAGCAGGTGCGTCACATTCTGTATATTCCTCCCCATGGCTCTCACAGATATTGTGAAGCACACAACAGGTCAGCACCATGTGTTTAAGAAGCTCTACATCACTGTCGTTTCTCTTCAGAAGACATCGCCAGCCTCCCAAATGCATTTTCGACCACAACTCTGGCTCTGGACGTTTTCCTGTTGTACGTCTGTTGTTCAGCAGTGAGACGACCGTTGTCTGAAAATGGTTTTAGGAGCCAGTTCTGTAGAGGATAGGCAGAGTCCCCGAGCACATAAAAGCCTACATTTACTCCCTCAATGTTCTTGGTACTAGTTGGGTGCAGTTTTCCATGAGCAACCAAGTCCCAAAATGTGGACAATCGCAGCACACGGGCATCATGTAAGCTACCTGGCTGACCTGCATTAACATTCCAGAACATGCCTCTGCCATCCACAATGCCCTGGAGGATTATGGAATGCCAACCTTTCCTATTGAAGTAGTCTGTGTGGAATCCCTGTGGTGCGATTATTGGGATATGGGAACCATCGATGGCACCCACACACTGAGGAACCCCCCACCTGGTCTCAAAATAGTTAGCCATTTCCTGTAGCTTTTGCAGAGTTGGAAAAGCAATAACCTCGGCAAGCAATATTTTACAGACAGCCTTACAGAAGTCCTGCACACAGCGGCACACAGAGGTCGTGCTGACACCAAAAAGAAGCCCGATGCTCCTGTATTCACTGTTAGTTGCAAGCTTCCACAGTGCAATTGCAACTCTTCCTGAGTGGCACGCAGGCTCTGAAGATGGTGTTCGTCTTCTGCATGGCTGGACGGAGCTTGGAACAAAGATATGAAAAGGTCTCTTCTGACATTCTGAAATGAGCTATCCAATCTGACGGAGTGAAGTTTGGCATGGTCACATCCCAGAAGTCGCTGGCACGGCTGAAGGCCCACACAGTTGGTTGCCGTCGCTGATTCAAAAGAGCCAACTAAAAAAAAATTTAAAACAGTCATAACACAGTAAAAGTAAAAAGAATAGTGCTGTGAAAAAGATTGAAACAGTATGGTTATAGACATAATGTTCACATGAATAGAATTTGTTTAAGGTTAAAATAACAGCTGTTCTTTATGGAGCTACCAGTGACTGGCTATGTTTTGTTCACTTTATAAAATGCACAAATGTGGTATTGCTTGTAATTACCTATATAATTAATTATAATAATTTCAGTACAGCTGCACAACTTATCTATGACATGCCCAGGAAGTAAAGAGTGAAGGATTCAGGCCCTCGTGTTGACTAGCATCACCATGAGTGCAGAAGCTGTTTGAAACTTAGTTAGGTGTTGGCCTTTCATGTTTAGCATGTCTTAAATGACCAATATACAAACAAACCATTTGATTTTGGTGCTTTTTTTTTGTTTTTCTTTTTTGATAGTTGCCCTAGCACCCCTTCAGAGATTATAACGACATGTATTGCAGCATTAGAAGTTACTTACCACCTGGCGCCTCCGTCTTTGTCTCAACAGTAGAAAGTTATGCCTCGTGTCCGATTTTAATTTCAGAAAGCGTTGTCGCCTTTCAGCTGCCCTCCTCCTCGATGCACACAGCATAGCTCTAAACGCTATCGTGATGTGGGTGTAAAGAATATACCAAACACCAAGAACAGAAAGAACGCGCTGCTGACTGGACTCCATTGTTGTTGTGTTTTGGCGCGATCTCGTCGCGCTGTGTGACGTTAAGGCACACATAGCGCGTGACGCATTACGCTACCCCGCCTGGCTACTGGAGCCTGGAATGTGATAGAAACGCTTGCCAGAAAACTTCTAGACCCATACCGGTACATACCGGTCCATAATACCCAGACCTGACCGTCCCAGACCAGGCGATGGAAAAGAGCTATAGGTCAGTGACTTCACCTCCTTGCGAACTTTCACAGCTGCATGCACAGAGGAACTCAGACTTCCCCTGCTGGTTATGGTAATTGGGTGATCTTCCTCAATCAATCAAATCAATCAATCAAAGCTTTATTTATAAAGCGCCTTCCGCAACCCTGTCAGGAAGCCCAAAGCGCTGAACATTGTACAGTTGTAAGTAATTATACTGAATAAATCAACAATAAAAGAAATTCAAATTACAAAATACAAATTACAAAATACAAAATGGAAATAACAAGATAGATGAAACATTCCGGTAAAATACAAATGTGTGAAACACAATTGGATTGAGTGGATGGATTGAGTGTACCAATGAAAACTGTGGAATTCAACATAAAAGAGGGCCATAATCAAACATGCTCTGGAAATGTCAAGCGGAGGAGGTGTGTTTTTAGGTGATTCTTAAAGACTGGCAGAGAAGGGGACAGCCTAACTGAGGGTGGCAACTGGTTCCAGAGTAACGGTGCTAGGACTGAGAAAGCCCGGTCCCCACGGGTACGACACCTAGACCGAGGGACAGCGAGCAGGCCTTGGTAAGAGGAGCGTTCCTGTTTGTTGGGAGGTGAGGTCGATGGGGTGCAGTTTCTTGTGTTCGGTCTGTGTCCTTTGATGTTCTCTGCAGAAACCTCTGCAGGTCAGCCAGTGTTCCTTATCACCCGTTAATCGAGTTGCCCACCACCAAGTCTGAGATACACCTTCACATCACAGCAGGACACAAATCAAGGAGTCTTCCAGTCTAGTCTTGCTTAGGGAACAATTTGCATTCAGGCAGGAAATCATTGTAACTCAAAGGTTGCACTGAGTGGGGATCTTTTGCTTCCAACATTTTCTAAACCAATAAACAACAATTTTCCCTTGAAGTCTGGTTTAGCATGAAAGTAGCCGGCAAGGTCTGCCATAATTCATTACAAACAAAATAAAACACATACAAATTCTTTAAAACTAGCTTGTCTCAGAAAAGGAGTTTAATCAAAGAGATTCTAGCACACTAAGGTAGAGATCAAAGAGGTTATTCACAGGAGGGGGCCACAGGCACAAACTAGCGAGAGACTCCAAAGGGACTCTGGTCTGGCTACTTAGCGAACAAAAGGCATTTACATGTAATTAAAGGTGAAAACTCTGTTTGACAACCAATTTTTATCTATT